AAAACAAAAAAAGGATTTGAACCACGTAACGTAAGGGGAATGAAACCTCATCTGCATGTCATACAAATACAGCTCCTCAGGTGAAGCGATGGAATTGATTCCAGTAGAGTTCTGTGTTAAAGTCGGTCGAAAAAAGGTCTACCGTCTATTGTCAATAGCATAACGATGTATAACACACAACTCTCACAGAAGTCACTTGCAAACCAAGTGAGTGGGATTTGCATGTGCAACTATTTCGTCCTTGTGTGAAACTCCCAATTGCACAAATTCCTGGAAATTTCATCAAGCAACGGTAAATGTGACCGCACCTTTAAGTGTGTCGTTGAGCTAACAACTTAATACTCTTAAGTGTTTATTGATTAAAATATATGTTGTAATGCATTCTGGGGTTGCCTCCTCTGACGAATTCTTAGAACAGGGTTTTCAAACTAGGGTCAAATACTGTATATATAAGACGGTTGTATTAGTTGTACTTGTATTAGTATGAATGGGAGAAATATATTTTAACTATGTGCTTTAGTGAAGGTAATATAAAAGCTAATTATTACATCAACTATTTAATTTAGTTGTTTTTATAATATCACACCTAACATTTCACTACTATACACAATGTAAACGGGTGTTTATACATGAAAGTACAAAGTTGTCTTTATATCTCAGGAAAAGGGCCCCTAACAAGGGATCATTATATTTGGGAGTCCATAGCATCAAAAAGTTTGAAAACCCCTGTTTAAAAAAAAAAAAAGACTTTTTAACGTTGAGAGTAAACATATCCCAGATAGCACACGCATGTCTGCAAGATGTCTGTTAAAGATCGCTTCATCTGGAAAGCATCTGCTGTGTACAAACATCTGATAGACATCTTTCAGACGTCAGTTTTATATACATTCTAAATCATAAACATCTTAAAGACATCTTATAAACGTCTATTTGACATCTGATAGGAAACATCCTATAAACGTATTGCAGATGAGCAAACACTCTAAAAAATACGTCTTGCAGATGTAAATGCAGACGTCAAATAGACATCTCTGTGATGTCTGTGTAAGAAGCTCACTATATTTGAAACAAAGCCATGATGTCAGAGGTGAATACTGACCAATGGAGAGTCTTCATAGATGATGATGCCATCTCTCAGAGGGCTGCAGCATTAAAGTCTGGACTGTAGTGTCTCTGTTGAAGCATACAAGATCAGAGCTTAGACTGCGTTTGTCATGAAACATCACACATGTACAGTAAATGGAGACTCTGTTTACAGTTAAATCATTGCTAATATCTCTAGAGAGTGAGATGATTTGTGGATTCATGCTTATGGGTCCTATAGAAGTATAAAGTAAACTGACCTCAATTCAGTGTGATGGACAGAGCGCTCTCGAGTTCTTGTGCAGGTTTGAAATGTGACACATATCTCTGTGGGCTTAGTGGAAGGGAGAATCCCTGAAGTGATTACTTTAGGCTAATTTAAGACTTCCATAATCGCTAACCAGGCCATAATGCATGCGAGTTTGTCTGTGGTTTAACTTTCAAGAAGAAACTTTCAAGATGACATCAACCTCTGCACCTCATAGATGGGTTAGACACAGTGACATAAGTTTCCACGACTTTTCAAGTCGTTTGTGATGAACGGATAAAAAAAATCAAACTGCACTCACAAAGAACAAATTGTCAGATTAAATATTTGCAGAGGATGACTAAAAATGCATATGTACTGTAGTTTTTTTTTAAATAAGATTTTATTGAATTTCATGCCTTTTCAAAAGTGTGGGGTCGGTAAGGTTTTTTTGTTTGTTTGTTGAAAGAAGTCTCTTATGCTCACCAAAGCTGCATTCATTTGATCAAAAATACAGTAAAACATTGATATTGTCAAATATTGTTACATTCTAAAAAAAACTGTTTTCCATTTTAATATATTTTAAAATGTATTTTTTTCTTGTGATGCAAAGCTGAATTTTCAGCATCATTTGGTCAGTCTTGTCCATCCTTCAGAAATCATGCTAATATCCTGATTTGATATTGTATTTCAGGATATTCAATGACTGCGAGAGCCCTGTTATAAGCATGTTATGCTTTGTCTTATCAATAAATTTATACTTTATTCAGCACAGTATCACAAGTGATGTATCCCATCTTTAACAATGAATTGCATAACCTAAATGGCACTAATATTTACACACAGTAATCTGCTGGATGAGTTATAGCTCAAAATATCCCGGACGAGCCCCCCGTATTTTATCTCACTAGGAAGAATTAAAAGGGACCGGATGAGAACAAATGAACATTTTCTGCTCTTTTTGACATTTAATTAAGAGGGATTGTCAAAAGAAGACATCTACTTTTATGATTCACAGAAGAAAGAAAAATAATAACGGGGTTGGAATGAGGTTAAGGGTGGCAAAATGTAAAAAGAGAACTACTCCTTTAACTGTAGTTCTTCAAAGGCAAAAGTACAACTTAAAAGTTCCCTCTGCCCTGTCGACACGTGTCCTAATTTAACAGGATTAAAATAGCTCACTCGAGCCTCAGAGAGCAGATCTTTTTATTTTAGGCACTTGGTGAGTCTGCAAAAGGAAGCTTCACCTCCTAATAGAAAACACTTGTATGATGCATCCGTGTCCAGGTGTTTATCGTTCTGATAAATAAAGGTGTCCTCTCTTTTTTTCCTCTGGTCTATTCAGATACAAAGAGGATACATTACTCAGTTATTCACTAATGATGAAAAGGAGCATGTGATGTCAGCGGATATGGGTCATTTCCGGTGTGGCCTCGTGACCAGGTTCTAATTGAGTCTACAAGAGAGTAGTTTCTGATAATAGGTCTTCCTCTCTGAGAAGGCTATTTGAGGAGAACTCAAGGGACTTTACCTGTGAAGCTGATGATATTCTCTCGGTCTGTTCATGAGATGCAAGAATCGATTTCTTGTTCTTGTCTTGTTTTTCCCAATGCCCTGTGAACAAAGTAAGAACATAGATCAGAAATAGATCGCCTTCAAATGAAAATAATATGTCATCATTTACTCATCCTCATGTCATTCCAACCCTGTATCATTTTCTTTCAATAAAAACGAAGGGAGATGTTAAGCAGAATATTAGAGTATGTGGAAGTGGATGGTGATTTATACTGTAATGTTCCTAAAAAAAACGAACAAAAAAACAGCACCATTAAATATCATAAAAGTAGTCCACATTAGTCATGCACTATTATTTCAACTCTTCTGAAGCTACAGGACAGCTTTCTGAGAGTAACTGAAATTAGTATGGCTGAAATTAAAATAATTTCTCATTGGTTTATTAAATGAACTATAATTGGGGTTCTTAAATTTCATTCTCTCTTTCATTCTTATATTTCATTCATATGTTTAAGAAAAATGCACCTTCAGACATGCCTTATTAGATTTGATATCATTTACAGGGTTCCTTCACATTTCCCATTCTTCTCCAGACTCAAATTTCCAAACCTCTCAGTAGATTTTCAGACCATATTTAACATAAATGGTTCATACAGCATTATTTTCAGATATAGTTCAGTCATCTGTAAATATTTTTCTCATAGATTTTCTTGCAGACTTTTGCATGCACACAAGAAAGTTTTGTGCATAGGAATATTTTGCTCGCTTACGCATTACAATTTCTATTTTTATTCTATAACCCATTTCCTTTGTCTGCCATCTTACCATGAAGAAAATGAGAGCATGGATGCACATGAATTAATAGAGATCAATTTGCTCAAAATTTGGCTTTCCTAATGGTAGTAACTCTACAATCAAGGCCTAATGTCCGATTTAACACATCCTCTGTGGCGGCAGAGAAGCCATGACACAAAATGGGCTTTGTGCATTGTCCTATTTGCCAAGTTCAATGGTCTATAAAAAGAACCTTAAAAAAAAAAAGTGTTAAAAATTTGCCTTTCGTTAGGGCAGTATATCATATTTCAAGGCCTTAGGTCTGCTTTAACGCATAGCCTACTCTGTGGCAGCCAAGAAACCACACCGCGAAATGGGCTGATGGTGCAATAGATGGATCAGTGTGCATTGTCCTACATGCTAAGTTTAATGGTTTCTCGTGCACACACGAAAGTCTGCATATTTTTTATTTTTGCAAAGGTCCTTTTAGAGGCTCTGTAATATGGTGCTAAGAATATCCTAAGAAAAAAATTTATGAAATTTACAAAACATAATGAAAAAGTGCACCTTGGATTAATTCAGATGTATTTGACAGTCACTAAAGAATCATTAAACAGCTGCCATGAAAACACACTTCTTGTATGATAAATTTATTTTCATTAAGTTTATAATTTTCTATTATAGAAAACTAAATAGGGGCAAAAGTCTGGAAATGCAACTATTTTTCTATACTTTGCTTTCTTTTTTCCATACTTTTCCAGACCTGGAAATTACTAAAATCAAATTCTTTCTCTTCCAAACTGCGTAGGAACCCTGCCTTTCCATCTACAGAGCTCACGTGTCAAGACACAATAATACTGTTATCCTTAATGGCGTAAATTTCCATCCACTTTTATTTTATGAAAAACAGAAGCTCAGATATTCTGCAAAATCTCTTTTGTTTTTCATAAAAGAATGAAAATAATATGGGGTCAAAACAACACAAGTGCCAGCAAATGATGACAAAGTTTTCCTTTTTTCATCCAAAGTATAGAGCCTAAGTCTCTGACCAAAGTCAGAGTTTATTATATCAGTTCAAGCATTGCTACACAGACAAAAACAGAAAAGTGTTAGATGTACACTAGTACCGTTGAAAAGTTTGGGTCAGTAAAGATTTGTTTTTAAAGAAATCAATATTTTTATTCAGCAAGGATGCAATAAATTGATTTCTACATCAGTTTCCACAAAAATATTAAGCCAAAAAATTGTAGCACGGTTCCCACAAAAATATTAAGCCACATGGCTGTTTTCAACACTGATAATAATAACAAAATAATTTCTGTACAAACATTTGAACAGTAGTGTACACAGGTCACAGGCCTCCTATTTCATTTTGTATGTCTAGCACACTTTCATTGGTTCTGTGCATCAGTCGATCGATCCATCTATACTCTGAAGTGACAGCAGTCAGGACGCCCACTCTCTTTCCATACACAAACGCAGTAAAGCCTCAGGTTTCTAGTGCAGAATGTGGGCAAGTGCCTGGGCACCATAGGGCACACTGAGCTCTAGTTCACCCTGTAGCTGGTGGCCAGATGCTTTACAAATGCAGCTGTGCTTCATGGCATGACGCCAGCGCTCTGGGCTAGTGTACTCTACGTCTGCTCTGCTCTCAGACGTCTCTGCAGACTGTCGTTCTGAGGATGGGAATCCTCATTTACCTGGTTCCCCACAAGAAGCAGGTGTTCCCCCAACAGGAAGTCTTTCAGCATGTCCTGCATGACCATCATGTGCTGTGAACAAACAGACAAAACGTATTTTATAACGACAGCAGTACAAAACACAGTGGGGTCCAAAGATATAAGACCTCATTGAAACTCTGGGATTTTTGTCATTTAAAGCTGAAAATAAAAATGTAAAAAGACGTTTTTGAAAGGGACAATCAAGGTACAAGATACCTTCTTTCCCCCTAATATTATGAAGGATTACCAACTTTTAACTCTGCTTTATTTAAAGCAAAAATCCAGGTTACAGTAACACTTACAGTGTAAGTAAACCAGGACAGCGTTCAAAAGGGTTTAAAAGGCAATATGTGAAATCTTAGTTTTGATAAAGCACTTATATATGTAATTTAGTTATAACCAGGTTGTCAAAATCATCTTTTTCAGCTGGGTCTACTTTTCTAGGTGGTTATTATAGGCATTTCTAGGTCACTAATTATAAAAAAAAAAAAAAAAAAAAGCTACTGTTCAAAAGTCTGATGCCGGAAAGATTTTTTTTTAATGTTTTTGAAAGAAATCTCTTCTGCTCATCAAGGCTGCATTTAACTGATTAAAAATCCAATAAAACTGTAATATTATGAAATATCATTGCAATTTAAAAGAACAGTTTAGTATTTTAATATATTTTAAAATGTGATTTATTCCTGTCATGTAAAGCTGAATTTTCAGCATCATTACTCCAGTCTTCAGTGTCACACGATCCTTCAGAAATCATTCTAATATGCTGATTTGCTGCTCAAGAAGCATTTCTTATTATTAGCAATGTTGAGCTTCTTAACATAACAGTTGTGCTGCTTAACATTTTTTGTGGAAACTGTGATACATTTTGTTTTGTTCAGCATTCTTTGTTGAATAGAAATTTCAAAAGAACTGCATTTATTAGATTTTTTTTGTATAATTATAAAAGTCTTTTCTGTCACTTTTGATCAATTTAATGCATCCTTGATAAAAAAAAATCTTACTTTGATCATGTAATCTGACATCGATCATGTGACTCTGATTAGACATTCTAGAATAGAAAGCAGAGTAGACAGCAGAAATGCAAAAGGTGTTATTTATTTATAAGTACTAATTCCATTTTTTGTTATGGTAATATAATAATTTGTACTGAAGAAATGTAACACATTTGCTAAAATAAATATTTTTTTTTTAAATTAAGTATTTTCACAGATTTGCCCCAGACTTTTATGGTCCACTGTATGTCATGTGACCGGATCTATCTAAGACTGCTCCAGCAGTAAAGCATGGAAACACTCAAGTAAAGCATCAATTATGTCTGAGAGGGTCACCTACATTTTACAGACACACAAAAGATGAATAGATAAATGGGAGCAGAAATGAATTCTGGTCCGGATATGACACAAGGAATTGAATTTTCTGTTTATGTGGCTGCAAAGGCACAAAGTGCTTTTTCAATATGATAAGGACACATAGGGATGATGCTGTTTGCTGCAAACACACATTATACAACAAAAAAAAGAGGCCTCGTTGTCCTCATTTCCGCCTCAGTGGACTACTGCACTTCTCCTTCTAGTGCTCGAAAGACAAAAAAGCAGGTCATGGAAAAGTGGGACAAGAGTAACTTTTTTTTCCCTCCACCTCTTTCTGGGCCTCTGAAGGGAGGAGAGAGGTGGCAGTGAGGGAGGAATAATTGGGTCATCCCTCGTTCTCTTCTCACATCTCTGAGACCAAACGCCACACACATACAGTGTGGCAGCAATACTGAAGGTTACTATTGGCAACACTTTATATTTTGTTATTACTGCATGATATAATGCTAAACAGATCTTTTTTAAAAACTACCATTCAAAGGTTTTGGGTCAGTTAAATGTTTTAAATGTTTATGAAAGAAGTCTCTTATGCTCATCGAGGCTGCATTTATCCAATTAAGAAATACATTAAAAATAGTAATATTGTGAAATATTATTCAAATTTTAAATAACTATTTTCTATTTGAATACATTTCAAGTATAATTTATTCCTGTGATGCAAAGCTGAATTTTTAGCAGATATTATTCCTGTCTTCAGTGTCACATGATTCTGTTGTACGTTCAATAAAAAGTTATATTTATTATCAATAATAATCTAAATAAACAAGTTTACCTTATGTAATATAGTAGGCTGTTTATGATGACCATTTAGTAACTTGCTCATTGCTAATTTGCTAACAAAAATAATGGTTGCTACACCACTCTGTCCAATGTTTCAAACACTTGATTTAGAGTTTTATTATTATTATTATTTTTTAAAGTGGCAGCACATTAAATATGAAGTACATAATTTCAGAATTGTAACCGGTCTATTTGAGCAGCTAAAAGGGCCAAAAATGTCTCAACTTGTGTTCGTGGGTTGGACTGGTTTGACTGAAGCATTAGCAGATGGGGGAGTATTTGAAACTTTTCAGCATTTTCGCAATTCTGTTTGATTTAACATATATACAGCAACTGATCGCTAGATGATCATCTGAATAGTTGCACATGAGAAACAATGTGGTTTGTTTGAGCAGTAAGAGGCTTAACTTTGAATACTGAAGATGCCTTAGTGAGAAGACCTTCAGATTCCTAATAATGAAATATGATTACACCCTGATTGACTGTGAACCTGCTGAGATCCTGCTGTACTTGGATGTGTATGCGTGTTGGCCAGCGTTCTTATGCGGGTCCTCTCTGAGATCTGACCTTTGAATAAAACACCCAGTTGATTTGCATGGCTTAGACAGACACAGATTGAGCTCTCCTCACTTCCATACCAAACCATTTTTGGCGGCCCGTGTGATCGTTGTGGAAACTGCAAATGCAATAAATCACAAACAGTCTTCTGACCATGTTAATAAAAACAGGGCTGGTGGGTAATGCAGTATTTGCAAATATGGTGTAAGTATAGGCTGTTTACGGTTGCCAAGGAACGTTGCATCTTGGTGTTTTAATATATAATTAAACTAGTGTGTGTGTGTGTGTGTGTGTGTGTGTGTGTGTGTGTGTGTAATCTGCTATTCTATTCCATTCTATTCCATTCTATTCTATTCTATTCTATTCTATTCTAACATGGCTCATCCAGTCAGGTTTGTTTGTTTTACTGTTTTATGTTATTTGGTTGTACCTGAAGTTTTATAATAATGTGAAGAAACTGTTAATTTCTTATAAATAATCGTATAACTTAATTAATTCCCCCCCCCCAAAAAAAAGAGAAAGAGAAAGAAAAAAAAGCAGTAATAATCACTTTGCTTTTTGGCCCCATATCTTTTGTGGGTTGCAGAGAAGAGAACAATGTTTCTCTCTGGTAATGGGCAGATAAGGATCTCACCTGAACATTCTCATAAAAGAGCACATCCGGGACCTTCCTCTTCTCATCAGGGCTGTACACAGGGACCGAGACGTTCCCTATGGTCAGGAGTCCATCTTTTACTGTGCCTAACAGGGGAGAGCAAAAAATTAAAAGGAAAAAGTGAGAGATTCTCAAAAAAGAGATTTTACCAGACAAAGATTACTTATCTTATCTGTCACTGACCAGCTCCTGGGGACACACAAAAACAATCTATTTCCTCCCATCTACACTTTTCAGACACCACATAGTACTGTACGTCTGCAATCTAAGTCTCTTACAGACGGCAGGGAAAATGGGACAAAAATATCAGTGCAGGCTAAAATTACTGAGGAACCACTGAAGTTGTCTGAGCCAGGGATGTGTGCAATCCAGAAATAAGAATGACTTTTCAAATTCAGCAGAATGCAGAATTGTAATTTGAGTTTAAGGAAGAAGAATTAAATGGAATTAATCAAATTCAAAGAATTCATATAACTGCTAAGTAGTTAAAATAATACATTTCATTTATCAGTATGAATCACTCATAATCTTGTGATCATACACATAACAAATAATGTATTCAGATAAACATTATAATTATAATTAATGTTTGAAATTCAACCTATAGAAATGTGCATATATTGTATAATTATATAATAGTTATATTGAATATCTTTAATTTCTAATATCTTTTTATCTGTTAATAATCTAACTATGCTGGAAGAACACTTTTTTTCCAGAATGCTCCAACTTACCGAAAAAAATAAATAAAAATGGAGCCACACATCAATATTTAATCAAGATTTAAATTCAGATTCAGGTCATATTTATTTTAACATTCTTAAAACAATGTAGTGGACATTTTGTGGTGTTGCATAGCAAAATTTGATAGATGTGTTAATTTTATGGTATTTACAAAACTTGGACTACTGAAATTCCTGTTGTGTGACCATGTTCAGTATTATAATTCAACATCCCGTTGTGCAATTCAATTTAAATTCTCATGAACTGTAATTAGCGTTGGTCTGAACTCTGGTATGGTGTTGTACTGTAACGCACAGGTGTAGAGATGGCTCTGTTCTGATGCTGGGTCAGGCTGATCCTCTATTGAGCAGTTCACCAGACTCTTCTGAAGAGGTGAGCGAGCCAGGCTGGGCAGAAACCTACAAATCCAAGAAAAATAATATATTAATTCATTCCAAATCAACTTTTCCCAGTCTTTCTGAATTTCACAAGAAAAAAAAAGGAAATAAGCATGTAAGCCATTGCCATTGGTCAGTAACAGCCCTGCCCCAAACTGCACAAACTTGTGCAGAGTTTAAAATAGTTTGTGAATATTTTATTTTTAAATGTTATTTAGTTGTTGAGTGGTGGCATTGAGACATGTATGAATGTGTTTGAGTTTGTCTACCTGGACAGACAGGATTTGTTCACAGCGTGAGCAACACTCTCCTCTGGATACTGAGAAAGACGCCGACAGATTCTCAGCAGCTGCCTGGTGGACAATGAAGAAGCAAGGGACAGGGCCTGAACACAGCACAAAAACACAAAACAACATTTACTTTTCATCTCACCAAAAGCAAAGCAAAGCAAAGCAAAACAAAACAAAAGCAAACAAAACAAAGCAAAGCAAAGCAAAGCAAAACAAAACCAAAGCAAACAAAACAAAACAAAGCAAAGCAAAGCAAAGCAAAAGCAAACAAAAAGCAAAGCAAAACCAAAGCAAACAAAACAAAACAAAACAAAACAAAACAAAGCAAAGCAAAGCAAAGCAAAGCAAAGCAAAACAAAACCAAAGCAAACAAAACAAAGCAAAGCTAAGCAAAACAAAACCAAAGCAAACAAAACTGTCACGGTGCACACACACGAGGAACGAGGAGACACTGGAGAATACGTTTAACAGGACTTTATTACCACCAAGGAACCAAGGGAGACGAACACAGGAAGACGTTCAACAGCGGACAGAGAACTTGGGACTGGGAACACTATTTATACACACAGGAGGAGGGGATGACGAGACACACCTGGGAGCAATGAAACACTAATCAGGGGAGGAACAGGAAACTAACCAAATAAGGGCATGGGAAGGCACATGGGGAGCAGGACACACACAAAACATGGAACAGAGTCTGACATAACGCCCCCTCCGGAAGGCGTGTCCTCACGCCATATAACATCCAATGGGGAGGGGGGGTGGGCACTCTGGAGGTCCCTCAG